GTTCCTGCTCTGAGCACCGGGATTGAAGTGGGAGACGGTACGTGCAGCAAATCCCTGGGGTGTGGGAGCACTGCGGGGAGGGCAGCTCTCCTACCGGGGTGTGCAGTGGCACCGGCACACCCTGCGTGAACAGAGGTGGGATTGCACAGCCCTGCCATACTGCTCAGATGGGAGCTGTGCGTCAGCTCTCCTGGGAAGTACTCAGGATTCACAGACTGCAGCTTAGATACAGCTTCAATCACCATCAACGCACCTGTGCCCCCTTCCACAGTGTTAAAAAAAAAGGTGATTTTTTTTTCTCTTTTTCAGAGAAATTTATTTTTGTAGCAGCTTTTGCATGATACTGTGATACTGAGTGAATTGAGCATCTTGTTAGAATAATCATGCCACACCAACTACTACTGTTGTAATGCGTTACTAGATTTTAGTGTCTAGCAAGTACAAGCCTGAAAGTAGGATAGATACCTAACGCATCCATGCACACAAAGCCCCTCCTTGCCAAGTACAACTTTAATCACTTTCATACTTGCTAAATGCACAGATATCTGCAACAACTTCTGCATTGTCATGTCTGCCCACACAATTCTGATACAATAAGATCATAGGATCATAGAATGGTTTGGGTTAGAAGGGACCTTTAAAGATCATCTAATCCACCACCCTCCCACCATAGGCAGGGACATCTTTCAATAGACTACGTTGCTCAAATCTCCATCAACCTGACCTTGAACACTTCCAGGGATGGGGCATCCACAACTTCTCTGGGCAACCTGTTCCAGTGTCTCACCACCCTCATCATAAAATATTCCTTCCTTATTTCCAATTTAATTCTACCCTCTTTCAGTTTAAAACCATTACCCCTTGTCCTGTCCTGGTAAAAATTTTGCATTGTTCTTACAAGCCCCCTTTATATATTGAAAGGCCACAATAAGGTCTCCCGGGAGCCCTCTCTTCTTCAGGCTGAACAACCCCAGCTCTCTCAGCCATTCTCCATAGGAGAGGTGTTACATCCCTCTGACCATCTTTGTGGCCTTCCTCTGGACCTGCTCCAACAGGTCCATGACTGTCCTGTGCTGAGGGCTCCAAAGCTGGATCCAGGACTCCAGGTGGAGTCTCACAAGAGTGGAGTAGAGAGGGAGAATTACCTCCCTTGACCTGCTGATCACACTTCTTTGGATGCAGCCCAGGATGTGGTTGGCTTTCTGGGCTGCGAGTGCACATTGTTTGCCTATGTCCAGGTTTTCATCCACCAGTGTCTGCAAGTCCTCGGCAGGGCTGTTCACAGTCCCTTCATCCCCCAGCCTGTATTGATACCAGGGGTTGCTGCAACCCAAGTGCGGGACCTTGCACTTGGCCTTGTTGAATCTCATGCAGTTCATGTGGGCCCACTTCTTGAACTTGTCCAGGTCCCTCTGAATAGCATCCAGTCCCTCAGGGTTGTCAACCGCACCACTCAGCTTGGTGTCGTCTACAAAATTACTGAGGATGCACTCGATCCCATTACCTATGTCATTGATGAAGATCTTAGTACCGGTCCCAGTACAGACCCCTGAGGGACACCACTTGTCACTGATCTCCATTTGGACATTGAGCCCTTGACTGCAACTCTTCAGATGCAGCCATCCAGCTAATTCCTTTTTCATTGAATAGTCCATCCATCAAACCTGTATCTCTCCAATTTAGTGACAAGGATGTTGTGTGGGACTGTATCAAAGGCCTTACAGAAGTCCAGGTACATGACGTCAGTTGCTCATGCCTTAACCACCAACAGTCACTCCATCATAGAAGGACAGCAGATTAATCAGGTTGACTTGTTAGTAGTTTCTAGGCTCCTCCTTTTTACTGTTTTTAAAAGTGTGTGAGATGATACAACCAGAGTTGTTACCATGATGCTAATCTAAACTTTTTCATGCTGAACACCCTAGAGCTTATTATTGACTTGGGATGGGCTGGCTGAGCCCGTCCTTTTCTAAT